AGTTGATTGTTTCATTCCCAAGGTCATCAAATATCAATACTGGTAGACTCAACAATCAACTATCTTCAAGCTTCCAACCCAAAGCTTCTTTCCATCTTTCTCTGCTCGGATTGGTTGCTTTTGTTCGGGCCCGATGGAGTCTTTCAAATCCTATTAGGAGCACTAGGAGGAGCCAGAAAAAACAATTTTTTCTCATATTATCTGTCTCATGTTCTACTGTCAGGATATAGTTAAAGTTTCAGCAAATATGACTAAAAGTTTTTTTTATAAAAATGATCTACTGCAGCTTTTAAGGTCCAGTGTGTTAGGGAGAAACTACAGTTTGTCTGTTCTGGGCTACTGTAGTAATATTTTCAGGAGATAATAAAAACATACCTATGAATTATGATATTCCATTTCTTTAACTTTTAAAAGGAACAGTTCGACATTATGAGAAATATTCACCAAGCTTTAGATGAAATAGTTGATGCCACTCAGTTAGCCTAGCTTACCATAAACAGTGGAAGCAGGGGGAATCTGCATACCAGCACTTCTATATCTCACTCATTAACACTTTATATCAAATGTTTAGGGTTTATGGGCCGGACTATTACTTGGTATAACAACGTCACACTCGTCTTTCGTTTCTATGGAAACCATAACTGTAAGAGAAAAAAAAAACACGCATTTACAGTTTTCCATTACAGGATGTCTGTTGGCAGAACGAGCTGCAGATTGTCTAACGTGAGTCACAGCGTAAAAAACAGGGAAATCAGAGTCAGATGTTCACAATTAAAACAATCAAGTGCCAGTTTGGGGGGGAAAAACAGAAAAGGTTGACAGAGTTTGTTTGAGTTTGAATGCTCAAAGAATAAATCATGTTTTAATCATCGAGGATTTATGGGTTGCCTAACAGCCTGCAGTTTGTAAGTTCAGACTTGGTTATGGCAGTTCATATTCTCAGAGGCTTTGAATTAAAACACGAGCAAGGCTGATTGTGTTAGTCACGACATCTCGTATGTAATCCCGTACGTACACATCTGAAAATCCAGAATACGTGTTTAGAAATGTTTAAAACAAGCCGAGGTGAAGTATTGTGAGTGTTTATAAACCAAGCTGCTGGGTTGTAGTGGAGGCTTTGATTTCTCTTAATGCAGAGCAGATGCACCTTTTTTTGGGGGATGTGGGAGAGTTTTTTTCCATCCTCGCAGTCGACTACAGAAAAACAGGATGGTCTACAGGGTGGAATAAAGCCTTGGAGCTATTTGTTTTTAACTGATTAAATTCACTTTCACATTCCTGTTGAGTATTTTTCCAAAACACATCATCAGGTTTCAGATTTCCTGCTTTCCAACTTCCATTTTGTGGGATGCAAAATCTAAACTTGATACCCATATGATCCTTTGTACAGTATTGGCTCATATAAAAGAAGTCCAGGTGAAATGAAAAATTTAATTTTAACCCTTTAAAGGGACATTGTGTAGGAATTTCTCCCATCTAGCTGTGAAATTGTATTTTGCATTCAAAATGCTTCACGCCCGCGTTTCAAATGTGTATGCAACGACGTAGCCATTATGACAAGCTATACTAACATTGTATACATACCAAATATCTCACATAACAAATAAATATTACAAAACTTGATGGCAGGCGTAAGACGATCATGAAAAGTAGGCCACTGGATGGAGGTAGCTAGTGGGCATACGCCTGCCTAGCAGCTATCACCAACCAACAGGCTGTAGCTTTTAACTATACAGTCCTACTGTTATGCCTGCCTATATAATGACTTACACACCCAAGCAATAAAAAAAACCTATGTATTAGACCGTAACATTGACTTACCTGTCGAGGAGAAAGCAGCAAATCAGCGTCCCTTTCAAAGTGTTTCCTTCATTATCTCTTTCCACCTGGGAAAGCTACCCGATGTTACCCTTTGTTTCTGAATAGCGCTGGTCCCATTGCCTTTTAATCCCTTGCTTCTTTCTCCGAAGATAATTCCGCGTCGCGGCCTAAGTATGACCCTCCGTCCTCCATTTTAAACTAAAGTGCAGTGCAACTTCAAATGTGCCAGGGCATGACAAGCCCCTCTCACTGATCTCTTCTCCCCTAAGCTGGTTTCAGTAATGTGACGCCTGGCCTGAACGAAAACGGCGTTGTTAGCTAGACACTGGCAGGCTAGTGCTGTATGTCCCTCCTTGGCGATTGCAGTTTTCAAAATGGCGGAACGACATGAATCCCCCATGGATTGCCCATCAATGTATATTAAAGATAGAAATTCTTCCGCTTATGAGATATCCAGATCACTTGCAGAGGAAATTTAACACAATGAGACCCTTTATGAAGAAGACATGATTTAGCAATCGCATCCTCAGTTATATTGTACCTCTATATAACAATGTGTGACAAAACATTCACAAAAACTCAATTTCCTTGTATATTTATATATAATTTTGTCTTTCTGTCAAACAAAATGTGATGCATGCTCACATAAGCTTGAACTAACACATTTTAGCCAATAATATCATGACATTCACCAATCAATCTTTTAGTGACACAGAGCTAACTGTCGCCAACAGCAATGTCAGATGCCGTTAGCTAGTTAGCTCATGCAGCTAACGTTAGTTGAATTAGCCCCAAGGTGGCAGGAGCCAAAACCGGCAAAAAAAACGTAATAAGTCCTCCCTCACCAAAACCAACAATGAACTGATATGAACAAAATATATATAATGTGATATTAAATTGTTTTTCTTTTCCTGGTGTGACAGCAATAGGCTTCTGTATCCAAGAAAGATACCTAACCATCTATTGACACTGGAATAAATAATAAAGATTAGATTATAGCCTTTATTTCAATGGTATTCTAACTATATTTTCACATCACAATGTTCTCCAGAATCTATTGGTAACATCAAAAAGTATTGATAGAATTGGTGGCACATATCTTTTTTTATTTTTTATTGGATTTATTAAGAAAAATGTAAAATAATGCCTAATTATTTAATTCACCATTTGAGATTACAGCTTTGCAGTAATTAGGTGTTTGTGTTGTGTCATTGTCCTGTTGTGCCGGAGCAGGTGTCGGCGGTTGGCGGACCAAGCACAGCCTGGATTTGGGTGTTTGCCATCGGCATCTTCGGCATCTCCTGCTTGGGAATCTTTGCTGCCTGCTCTGAGAAAGGCATCGCCCTCAAAATAGTCTGTACCAGTCAACATATTATATCAACTGGGTTTTGTTGTTTGTTTTGTTCATTTAATCAAATCATCATCAAATTCATCAATCAAGTGACTCAATCAACAAAACTAGCAATGTGTCTGGTATCTACGAATATTTCTCATATTGTTTCATGGACAGTTTGCAGGTTTCATGGTGGCTGGAATGATCATCATGCTAATCTTAGGCATCATTGTCGTCGTCTTCAGGAACAAGGTACATCTATTTAGCTATCTATCTAGTTATCTAGCTATTGATCTATCTTTACCTAAATGTTTGTCTCCCCATCTTTATCCTATTTTTCTGTCTTTCGTTGTATGTAGTTTGATAAAGTTCTATGTATCTTGATGCTAACATTCTCTCTATCTATCTTGACACTAAAATTTCTCTATATCTTGATGCTAACAATCTCTTTATCTTGACTCTAACGTTCTCTCTATCTGTATCTCTCTGTAAGTGTCTGTCTTGATCTTTCCTCTCTGATCGTTTTTTCCCTCCACCATATTGATACTAATGTTGTTCTTTCTCTTCTTCTAGGTCAAAGATGCCTTTACCAACACCCTGTCGGACTCGATAGTTCCCTACATGAAGGATGAGGAGTTCAGATCATTTCTTGAAGGGATGCAGGAATCTGTAATGTTCTTTATGTACTATTAACCCTTATGAGTGTAGTCTAGCTAGATTGTGCCTTCCTCATGCGGACACATAGAGCAGTGTCCCATTAAGACCCATTAAGGTTTGCCAAAGCTTCATGGGGGGGTCACAAGGTCTTCTGGATTTTAAGCCGTTCATTGTTCAGTTTTGAATTCAATATGAAATATCCATTAAATATATGTCACTTAGTCAGGGATCATCAGTGTATTACATGATAAAAAAGTGGTCCCTTCAGGAAACAGGTTGGGAATCACACAGGGGATGATCATATCGATGATCCTAACAATGAAAGTCTCCAAGTCAATTACAGTCAATTACAAACCTTTTCCTAAATACAATTGAGTTTAACTAAACCCACACCCACTATGTGATCGATACTTCCTAATTTTGAACCTGATGAAACTCACTCTCTCATGTGGTTGCAGACCCAGTGCTGTGGAGTGGTGAGCACCAATGACTGGGGTAATGAGATCCCTCAGTCCTGTAAGTGCTCTTCTCGACAATCAGTATATGGATCACCTGCATGTAAAGCCAGACCTCAGGTTGGTTTTGTGAAATGAAACTGAATTTATCTAATATAGGAATTGACACTGGAATAAATGCTCAAAAATATGGTAATGTCCAAGGTGGTGATATGAACTTGTTTGTCTCATCTCATGAATAAGCTGGTGCTTGTGTGTAAAATTAAATTCCACCTTTTCGTCAACTTAATGTACCAACATTTGTGGACCTTGAGTATGTAAAGTGCAGGTGGAAGAGAAGGATTGCCTGTTATTGTAGGGTTGGTGGTTCTCCAGAAATCTCCATCAGGATACACTCTACGGTAGCTCTGCAGCTATGTGGTGTATTTTTGGTCTCTCCTTTTGACCTTACAGCAGGGTGTGGCCTTTCATTTGACTTTTTATGACCATATTTTGTTCTTGTTTGCTTGCAGGGAGCCACTGGCCCAGATCAAGTCTTTAAACAGGTATTCAATAAATCAACCCGTCAACCAATTTACCTGTATGTGATGTTTCAAGATAATGAACCTTTCTCTATTTTGTCTTCTGCAGACCTGCGGTGAAGTGCTCTTTGGGTTCTTAAACATCTTCTTCCAGATCTCCATGGCTTTTTTCTTTGGATTTGCTGTCACTGCAGTAAGCTCTGCTGTCTTTGTTGTTTCATCACGTTCTTTGACTGCATTGATTGTAAAGATTTTGTCAACAGCAATCTTTCAAGATCAGTTATCACTATAGACATATTAAGATCTACAAGAGTTCCCCTTGTGGACTCTGACCTTTGTATATTGGACGATTTTTAAGTTTTAAGTCAAACTCCAATGGAATGGAAGCCATCTGTCCAAGCTGCACACTGGAATAAACTAAAACAAAGATTTTTGTCAATTTATAATCTTTTGTTGAGGTAATTTACCGTTAGAAGCAAAAAAAAATAGTATAAAAGTATTTAAAATAAACGTTTTTTAGTTTTATACAACAATTTGTGAAATACGGATTTTGTTTTGTTTCTGAAACCTAAATTAATGTGGTAAATTTAACACTAAACTAGGGTGGCCAGACATTTTTTGTTGGGGGCATCTGCCACCCCAGTGCTACCACTCTATATACTCCCCTGCCGGTCGGAGGCAGGCATTAAGAATAACTACATAGAAATATTATTATTCATAACTATAACTCCTTGTAGTAGGTTTAAATAATCCAAGAGACTAAGAATCATTGAGGATCTCAGTAAAAGCATTCAGATTTAAAGTGGAAAACACTTTGGAACCGGCAGGGCCTCCCATTTTGCAGCTGTATTTTAGGTGCAGACAGTTTTAGCTGCACTCAGAAAGCTCAACAACTCATTCAGCTGTTAAACTAACAATATGCAGGCAGTAAACTGAAATAAAAAAACATGCTTATAACAGCTGTTGGCCTCCAGTCAGCATTTAAATTCATAACAGTGTGCAGCTTGGACAGATGGCTGCTTATGTGTTGTCTTTCACTTCTGGCGAGGATCCAAGTTGTCTGACAGCTTGTCTACTGTACCTGTCACCTGTCTGTCTCTCTGACTGACTGCCTGTCTTTATAGCTGCTGGGCCTGTTGGTCTCCCTCCTGATGATCCATCAGGTCAACCGTCACGACAGCGCAGGAGGATCGTCCATTGCCATGAAGGGCTACTGAAAGGAACCCTCCACCCCCTGACCCCTGACCTTTAACCTCTGCATTGTAACAGGAGGACTCAGTGGTCAACAGGACCTCTTCTTCTTCTTTCCTTTCTTTTTTTTTACGATATTTGTGCCTTTTAAGAGAGCGACAGGGAAAGCAGGAAACAGAGGGACGATGCTGCAAGAATGTTTTATTTGGAGGCAAAAGTCTTCCATCTTTTTATTGTAGAAAATATATGCAAACATTTATTTTTTTGTGAATCATTATATCTCCTTTGTGTTATTTGGCGGTATGCATGTATAGTAGTCTTATGTAACAGACATATTGTACAAATGAAGCTGTCTCTAAGCGCAGCCTTCACCACATCCAGCTACAGCTCTATTAACCCGGGGAGGACTGAGATCAGAGTTATTACCGGTGATTTAAAATCCAACAGTATAAGAGAACCCACTTCTTTTCCATCCAAAGTTCCGATACGATTCAGGGACGATGCTTTTTAATGAACAATTCGATGCAATCTGATACAGTTCTTAACATTTGTTTACCATTGAATCTATAAAAGTCACATTGTTCACCTTCAAATACATATATTTCATAAAATACCAGGGAATCTGAAGTATTTTTTTTTTTCATGGCATCCCTTACCAAAAAACCCCCCACATGTGACCACATGTACACGTAATTTTGCACATTTGGTGTAATGTGTAAAACCAGCATCTTTCCTACATTTTATTGTGTTGTAAAGTTTGGATATTCATAGGTTTTTTTTCTGTAAGGGATGGGGAAAAAAATGGAAGTTAGATTACATGTCATTTTGTTTCCGCGTAGTGATGTAGTCACATCTATAACGTTAAAACTAATTTCCAACTTACATCGCTAAATCTATACACCCCTATCATCCATGCGTTTGGGCCTCATATAAATTGATTCTTTCAGTTTTATGTGTGTCACACACGGGTCCAGGACTTGTTTAGCCTAGCTTTAATTGCTATTGTGTTGTTGTAATGTTACTATTCCTTTAATTCAATGAGAATATGCACTGACAATAAGTTTTTCGTGGATTGGGAAATAAAAGCCCCAGATTTGACTGCTCTTAGTATTTCTGGGTGATGAACACTGAATGAAGTATTCATGAAGATTCATTCTAATCTAGGTATCATTTCTGAAGGAATTAGCATCATAAAAATTAGGAAGAAGACCATTTCAGAACCTCCTCGGGTTAAAATGAGTCAGAACACTTGAGCTGTCTCTTGCCGGTGTGTGCTTGTTAAAGAAAATTTACAACAACAAACTAGCATATTTCCTAAAGATATGTGCATGTATTATGTAAAGCACTTCAGTCTCAACAGAACAATTCTGGGTGCATAAAGAATTGCCTAACTTGACATTTTCAAAATCAGTAAAACAGAGCAGGTAACATTTGGGGAAAGTTCGGAAATCCCAGCAACACTTGCAGCACTGAGAACAAAAAAGGCATTGTCTCATCCGTATTTGGATTCATGCTGAAGCCAATAAAAGATCACACAACCCACAGGGTGAAGCAAACCAAATAGCAGCTCAGGGTTACAAGTGTACAGATCTCCTACAGACCATGAACACCTCACCATTAAATAAAGAGTGACAAAAATTTAAATACAAATACTGTAACAGGAACTGTTTTAATGTCAAATCTGTGCTCATATAATTTCAGATTAAACTCTTGACTGAAATCCAGAAGTTCTCACTCTCTTGTGTTCTGATCCATTCAGTGTTTTCTCACCGTTGGCAGGGTTTCATTTGCCATAACATAAAGGGCTGACAGAGGCCAATAGAGAGGTTGAAAGGCAGTTTAAAGGGCCAATTGTTGGGTATAGTGGGATAATTAATGGTTTTGAAAGGTTGATGGAAGGGTGCAGGGTGGGGTAGATGGTTTTAAAGAAATGATGGCACAGTTTTGAGTGGATTATAGGTGTACTACAAATCAGTGGTTCCCAACCTTTGTCCTTAAGGGAGCCCTTTTCTATCATTGAGTAAACGGGCGACCCCTGACTGAAAGATTTCATACAATAACAGTAAAGAACAACTGATAAACTGTTCAAGGAACCCAACACAATAACTGCAGGAAGTTTGTGTAAAATGAGCTTTGGATGAATTATTTCCTGTGAATATTGATGAGTTTTCCTGATATTTTTAGGAACTTTGTAAACAATTCTCTCTGTATTTACATTAATATCATGGTTTGGGTTTAAATGGACCCTTAACCGTGTGTTAGAAAGCTTTTTTAGCAGGAAACATCTCCCTCTCACGCCAACACGGGCGCTTAGCCAATCCTAGTGCTCGAATGATACACAGGGCTTGTCTTGCCATGAAAAACAGTGGGATCCATAATAACACATCAATGATTGTAACACATAGCTCAGGGCCAGGCAGAATAAATTAAAAAAAAGTTTACAGCATCTGTGATTCACAACATGGTTTGTTAACAGACAGGCATGAGGAGGAAGGGGCTGTATTATATATGCTGTGTAGCTGATTAGTGGATTAGGAGCAGGTATGCAGGTGAACGTCAGGTGACGGCTGAAGGCGGGAAACACTGAGGAATGCAGAGCAGGGAGGGAGTTGAACACATGTTGAACCACTAATATTAGTGATGGCTCTGTTCCCCTGCAGCCTCTCTGGTCAGCCAGCAGGCGCAACCCTGAAACTGGCTCACCTAAATGGAATGCAGCCACCATTAACGATGACATTGCACTTTGGGTGCAGGATGAGATGCACACACAGTTCTGTAAAAAAGTTACAAAATTTGCATCAAATGAATGCAAAAACCATGAATGTCATGCATTTAGCATTTAGTATGACGGCATTATATAGACAGACATTCTCTCAGCGCCCGACCTCCAGCTGATGTAGAATTAAACAGTAACTGGGAGAAAGATATAAAGATGTTGTTCTTTACTTTTAGATTATTGTTGTTACCTATAGCATCTGCAAAAAATGTATGGATGAACGTGTTCTGAGAGCTCAACACACTGTGACAAGCAAATTATGTACCATTGTCATCTGTGCCACTTGTGCTTTCTGATGTGTCTAAAATTCTGCATGTGTTGTCAGAGGAAGATATGTTTTTAATTTGCTTGTATTTTGTCTACTTGCATGTGTTTCCTCAAAGTCCCACTCTACTCAAAAATATTCTTGTTCCTTCAGTGTGATGTTTGAATGATGCATGTGCTGACACTAGAAGGATGTTATCAAGTCAATTATTGTCCAATGGACTTTACAGTGGGAGACATCTTGTGTCCAGTAGGGGAACTTTAGAAAGTTACATATTCATAGATTATGGTCTTAATAAAGTAGGAGTTTTCTTTTGCATAAAAAACACAAGCAAACTATTTGTATATAGGGCTTACTACATGTCTGAAGGTGAGCTTTAAATTGCAGCCAGGTTCCAAAATCTGGTGCAACCAGAAGAGTGGAGGCTGTTACAGAAGCAGATTAACATACATGGTTTTAAAATGAGATATTCAGCCATCACCTCTGGATTAAATATTCAGATGTCCACAACTTTTGGCCACATAGTGTGCTTTCTCACAGAATAAACCAGCAGCCATTAGATGGCAGTAGACACCAGAGAACAGTCACAAATAAAGCAGGCCTCACATGGCTGCATGTGCTGAGGAACAGTTCACATATTATCTCCATGATCCAGGAACAGACCTCCACAGTACATCCTGGAGAGGATGTACTGTAGAGGAAAAGAAACAGCCGTAAATGATGTGGGTTTCAGTGGGTAAAAACACATAAACACATAAATTAATTATTAAGTATAAAAATTGATGATCATGCTATAAGTGTAAACATTCAAGTGAACTGAACGCACCTCTGATCATTTACTGCAGGTTCATTTGTTGTAGTTAATCAAACACAAGCATCACAAAAGAAATGAGATATGGTTGTGACAGTCTGCTCTGTGAGAAAAGCCGAGCGGGAAAACACAAGCTGTGCAGGTGACAAAGATTAAATTCAAGACCTTTCATGCTTGAGTATGTTCTCTGGTATGCCTCAGCTCCCATCTTTATATTTCCTCAAACTTGAGGCACCTTTACCTTGATCTTGAATATTTTCTGAAGAATTAAAAGCATCTTTTTCAAATGCAATGCTTAAAGTAATCTTAAAAACATTCCTGAGAGAGAAAATGTAGTTTGGTCCTCCTTGTGATTACCAGTAAAACTGTTCTTTAATTAAACTGCTCAGCATCCAGGCATTTGTATCATCCACATACTTATGGGAAGAAATGATTGCGACTAATGAAACCTGGGGGGAAAACAAAACAGCAAGGGGCCAAAGACTGATCCCTTACCCAATAAAAACACATAAAGTTACTCATTTAGATGTGTTTTTCTCATGTTTGAGATTTGAGTCTGTTGCTTTAAGTTGCATTTCCCGCTGGACGCAGCGTGTGGCCTGCTGAGTTCTTTCAACATGTGAGCCAGCCTCAGGCACTTTCAGGACTTTTGCAAGAGATTACTGTACATTAAGTAAACAGCTGCAAGCGCTCGCAAGAGAGAAACAGTCGACTGCTGTTAAAAACAGGAATGAACAAGTTGGTTTTATCTTCCACAATTTATTGATACAAAACATGAATGACATATAAAACATGACACAGTACATCCTACTGATAATTAAAGAAGCATGCACAAGTGAGATAATTTGTTCATTTTACAAATAAAAAAATTAATAAGTCATCCTCTCTTTCCACAATTTGACTTAATTTGAATGCCTTCATAAATATGATATTAAATATGATAGCAAAATCAAAATCATGATATATTCGATGAAAATAAATGCAAAAAAAGTTAATATTCTGTTCACTATATCATCTTCATGTCTTGCCTAGTTTTATTTTATTTTATTGGCATATTTTGGCACAGCAACTTATAGGAAAGATTATCTTACTCCAACAGCTGCCTCAGGGTTTTCTTTTTTTTTTTTTAGCATCGGCTTCATGTCAAACCATGTCAGTACTCTCTGATGATGCATCTCTTGCAGATGTATTAATATTTTCTCATTGTCTTTTTGTCCCCTATTACAACTACTGACACTGCTGGGTTTGTTATGTTTTGGTCAACTGATTTCAGACAGCAGGACTTCGCAGCAATTCCTCATTAACAGATGGCTTTCATCAGGTGGGAATGAGAATAAGTTATGGAATTTATTAGTTTACTTAGGTTCAAGAGCGGGGCCACGCCTCAACCACACTTCTAACCACCTGATCAACCCCCTTCATGCGCTATTTGACCCATCCTCCCTTTCCCTTCCCTTGATTGCCTCTTCCCTCCGCCCCTAATCCCTTCCTATTCGGTTGGTGCATACCTCTCCCACATCTCTAGGTACCTGACGGATAACATCTTCTTCCACCTTCTCCCCTTCACATCCACATCAATTCATCTGTACTTAAGATCAAAACCTCCTGAATTTCCATTAAACCTTAAAATGAAACATTGTGGTGGTGGGTCCTTGCTAGTGAAAGTGAGTGGTGACTCACTCGTACAGGAAACCTTGTATGAAAAAATAAAAGACAGATTGAAGATAGGAACACTAAAAATGTTTTTGCATGAGTTCAGTTACATGGACTTGGAGAAAGCACTCAAAAGTACTCAAAAATTAAAAGCATCCTACACTGTTGACCCTGACAGAGTTATCCATGCTTTTATTTATTAATCTTTCCGTTTGGACAACTGCAATTATGTTTATGATTGAATAAAACTGTCAATCTCATGGCTGAAACTGGTAGAAACTGCTGCAGCAATGACTTTATGTGACATATAATATTTGACAACATGAAATTACCGGCAGCAGCAGTGGAAGGCGTGCCACAAATTCCTTTCCTCAAAGAGCATTAGCAGACTTGCAGGCGTGCAAGATTGCTGCAGCGATAGTAATGCAGCGAGCAATGTAGCAGTACCAGCTTAGGCAGAACAACAGAGTGAGCAGTCAATTGACAGCTTAAACAGACTGTGTTATTGCAATAGATATGCATGACAGTGAAATGCATGTGAGAATGAAACAGCAAAACTAGAACTGTCACCCTCAACAAATTCACAGACCCCCCTCCATTAAGACTACCAGGCCTTTTTTACTGAAATGTCACAGAAGAAAAAGCACAGGTGTAAATAATAAAATGAATGCTGGCTGAATTTCATTTAGCTCCTTCAGTCTCAGGGCCTCGGTATTGTGCATGCTGTCTCACTGTCACACATGGCTTTGTGGGATATAAAGGAATAAAACAGATCATTAACACCTATACTTTTCCTGCTATATTCCTGCTATGACAAATCAAAATGTCTGCTGTGGAAGAGGCCTAATCAGGTTTTGTTCTATTAGATTTTACAAATAGCAAGACAACCACAGGTGTAACTAAACTCATAAAGTTTCTTATCCCTGCTATTGTTCTCAAGGCATCATTTATGGTGTTAGTTCCACATGGGGTTTTCTGGCTATAACAAGTAAAAATGCCTGCTAAAAGTCTGTGTCAAAGTATATTTTAAAGGCCCTATTTAGTCCGTTCTGGGTTCAACATGGTAACCTCCGTGGAAGAGGACCTGCTCCCTCTACAGATAAAAAACGTCTCATTCCAAGGTAACCAAAACACAACTTTCCCTTTTTCAAGTAATTATACACTAATAAAAACATACGTATGAGTATTATATTCCATTTCTGACTATAGATCCTCCTAAATGTTAAACACTGGATCTTTAATGCATCTTTAAACCTATACTTTGTCTGTTCTGGTCCGAATCAGTGAGTATAAGATAAGAAGTTAGTAAACTTGTTGCATTTTCTTCTTGGTTTGGTTTATTTTTGCACAGAAAAAGTGAACCAAAATGTATCATATAAAGTATTCACATTGGTAAGATGTGCTAGTCTAGGTCAGACCTCGATTGATTTTTGGCTATGGGAGTCATTTAGCTCAAACTTGGCCTCGCAGTCGGATCGAGGTCGGACCACATTCCCACCACAAACAAACTGCTTCAGAATGCCTCTGTGACCGAACCGAGAACTTTCATACAAAAAGGTCTTCCGATTTTTGTGGTCTGCACCAATATTTAGATGTCCGATTCAACCACACCAAACAGTGCACTCACTTAAAAAACCACTATTTTACAAGACACATTTCTGGGCAATGATATGACAAAATTGACCATAATTTCAAGAAAACTCTGAAGCAATTATGATTACTGCATCAGACAAAATCAACTCACTGTTTGACGGCAGAAATTATCATAGGAGTGGAGTTTCTGCCATCATTATTTAGACCAGGACTGAAGAATGGGTAGAGTTTATCAGTGAATGAGCAGCCAGAAAAGGAGTAGAGAAGAGCTGCAGCATCTACGTCATAAAAAGAGACCAGACCCATCTCATAATCCACAAACACTCCCACCTTCTGCGGCTTTGAATTTAGAGAGAGAGGTAGAGGAGAGCCAACGAGAGCTGCGTATTGATCTCCATTCTTCAACCACATTGTCCAGTGGCCATTTTCTGGGCACAGTGGGATAATTCCCTTCCTTTTGATCGACTCTTTGGCCACTCCTAAAGTCCATCTAGTCTTTCTTTTAATGTCAACCTCAAAGTAAAATTTTCCATAACAGAAACTCTGCTTTGCTAAGACACAACAACAAGGATTAAATCTCTCTGGATTGTCTGGGAGATTCTTCTTTACATCACTATGATGAACTTGTTTTCCATCATCAGACAGGATGAGAGCAGGATGTGCTGTATCAGGATCCAGTGTCACATCCACTGCAAAATGTTGGAGACTGCTTAGCTCAGCCCCATTGATCAGCTTGTGTAGCACTTTGCCAAGCGTCTCCTCCAGTTGATCCACAGCTGTCTTAACAGTCCCCTCATATTTTGGCAGATTCACATGGACCTCTGTCCAGTCTTTGTAGATGGCTGAAGCATTCAGGGACCCAAAGCTTTGTAGGAAGTGGATGTGGTCTTTTGAGTGTGAAAGCTGTTCCACCTCGGCCCGTCTCCTCATCAGCTCAAAGATTTCCTGCTCTAGCTCTTGGATGAAATCTTTAGTCTCTTTTTCTGTCGTTTTCTGCTTGTCTTCAATGATCCCAATGAGCTCGGCCTGGGCCCTTTCCAAAGACTGTATCAAAGCGGAGAAGACCTGAACGCCATCTGCCATCTCTTTGTCTGCAGATTCCTTGCTGAGCTTTACATTGTGTTTGATATCCTGAATCTTTAGTCGTCTCTCCTGGATCATCCGGTGGATTTCAACCTCTCTCTTCCCCAACTCTGCCTTTTTTCTCTCAAATTGCTCTTTCAGCGGAATGACTTCATGCGACTTGTGGTCTAAAACAGGGCACAGCATGCACACGCAGGTCTGGTCAGTCTTACAGAACAGCTCCAGCAGTTTATCGTGCTTCGTACACATCCTGCCTTCCAGGTTCTCCACAGGGTCGAT